CCCCAAAACCCCAAAACCCCAAAACCCCTTTTAAAAGGCATAAAATTGAGATAACTTCAGAATTTTTCATAATTCCTACACCTTCACCACCTCCATATTTTACCTAACTTTGTCAAAATCCAAATTTCGAAAATCCACCTGGTCCAAAATCACCTCTAGATTTCTCATAACACCTCCAAACCCTTCTCAGCTCCCAAATAACCTTAATAATTAAATAATTTTACTATCAACCCTAATAAATCTCTTCTTCATCTTCACCTGCATTCTCTTCCTCTTCTTCATCCTTATTCTCAATATTATCCTTCTCTTCTGTCTCTTCTTCTTTATTCCCTTTAGTGTCTTTATCTTTAGTAACCCTTTGATGATTAGAGGTCTGGCCAACGCTAGAACCCTATATTATGTTAGGAGTAGCCCTTTATCAACAACTGGAATATTTTTAAAGATTGAGGTAAAATAAATACAAAATTTAGGCTAGAGGGATTCAGAAAGATTACCCTGAGAGATATCAAAAGACTTACTCTATCTTTATCTTCAGTATCATGTTTGTCATTTTGACCTTTATTTTTACAATGATTTCCTCTTTTAGCCTCTTCATTTTCAAGAATCCTTTCCTCGCTGATTTCAGCATTGTCTTCTTTCTCTTCAGGTTTGACTTTCTGGCTCTTTGAGCCAGAAAGTCCAATCAAGAAGCAAATGAGGGCTCCAACGAGGATAATTACGAAGAAGATGAAGAATATGATTGAATTGGCAATTCCTAATATATACCAATCAGTATCCGTTCAATCTTCGTCTAAGACCCAGATTATGCCAACGATGTGGTAGACCAAGCCACCTAGAAGGCAGATGATGTATACAAATCCACAGAAGGGATAGACCTTCATAGAGATACTAAACAGAATTTGAGTGTAGATGACGATCAATACCCATAATACTACAGTTGAACCAGTGAGATGGTCTTCCATATGATCAGAAATACTACTAGCATTCTTCCCAGCAGCGATAGCTGCTATCTTTTTGGTAGCTACTCATTTTTGGTGATCATCTTGTTGAATCAACAACAGAAGGCCATTGACAAGTCCAAAAATTGAAAATATTACACTTGGGATTGATGCTACCAACAAGATGCTTTCAGTGAGTATATTCCATGTTTTATGCTGGGCCTGCGTAGCTCCATCATTATGCCGTTTTACTAGTCTCTCATTCTCCTTGTGGTCATCTTTAGACCCTTCTTCAGGCTGAGACATTAAAATATTTTTCAAATTAAAATAAAATTTTAGGGGTTTTGGGGTTTTGGGGTTTTGGGGTTTTGGGGTTTTGGGG